ATTTAGGTGCTCCTATATTGGGTGCATATATGTTTACCAGGGTTATATCCTCCTTATTGGATGATTCCTTTAGTACTATGTAGTGACTTTTGTTGTCTCTTATGATTGCCTTCATTTTGAATTTTATTTTGTGCAATAAAAGTATCGCTACCCCAGATTTTTTTTTTTATTTGCCTGGAAAATTTTTTTCCATCCCTTCATTCTCATCCTGTGTGTTTTGAGACTGACCAATGTGAGATTGAAAACAATGTATATTCTGTAGCTTTGGGTTGAAATATTCTATAAATGTCAATTAAATCCATCTGATCCAGTGAGTCATTAAGAGTCACTGTTTCTTTATTAATTTTTTTTGTCTGAAAGATCTATCCAGTGATGTCTGTGGGGTATTAAAGTCCCCTACTATGACTGTATTGCTGTCAATCTCTCAAAGTACTCTAGAAGTTTTTTAAAAATACATTTAGGTGCTCCTATATTGGGTGCATATATGTTTACCAGGGTTATATCCTCTTATTGGATTTATTCCTTTAGTACTATGTAGTGACTTTTGTTGTTTCTTATGATTGCCTTCATTTTGAATTTTATTTTGTGCAATAAAAGTATCGCTACCCCAGATTTTTTTTTTTATTTGCCTGGAAAATTTTTTTCCATCCCTTCATTCTCATCCTGTGTGAGTCTTTTGTTCTGAGATGAGTCTCTTGCAAACAGCATATAACTGGGTCATGTTTTTGTATCCATTCAACTGTCCTATGCCTTTGGATTGGAGCATTTAATTCATTTACATTTAAAGTTATTGTTTATAGGTACTTATTTAGTACCAGTTTACTTCTGTATGCCCATGTTTCTCTCTCTCTATTACTTCTCATTATAGCAGTGCCTTTAGCATTTCTTATAGTGGTGGTTTGATGGTGATAAACTCCTTCAGCCTTTTTTTTTCTGGGATGTTCTTTATTTCACCATCTATCTATTTAATAAAAGCCTAAGCGACCATTATGGCAGAATGACCAGAATGACCAGTTGCTGTGATGCACACTGACCACCAGGAGGCAGATGCTCAATGCAGAGTATCACTACCCCAGATTTTTTTTTTTTTATTTCCCTGGAGAATTTTTTTCCATCCCTTCATTCTCATCCTGTGTGACTCTTTTGTTCTGATGTGAGTCTCTTGCAAACAGCATATAACTGGGTCATGTTCTTGTATCCATTCAACTGCCCTATGCCTTTGGATTGGAGCATTTAATTCATTTACATTTAAGGCTATTGTTTATAGGTACTTATTTAGTACCAGTTTACTTCTATATGCCCATGTTTCTCTCTCTCTCTCTATTACTTCTCATTATAGCAGTGCCGTTAGCATTCCTTATAGTGGTGGTTTGATGGTGATAAACTCCTTCAGCCTTTTTTTTTTCTGGGATGCTCTTTATTTCACCATCTATCTACACTAATAAAAGAGAAACATGGTAATTAGCATACGACCGCTACCCTTCCCATTGGCTAATCAGCATATCCTTATCTTTGTCTTTAATTTTTGGCATTTTAATTACTATGTGTTTGGGCATGGGCCTGTTTGGGTTCTTCTTGCTTGGGACTCTCTGTGCCTCCTGAACTTTTATGACTCTTTCCTTCACCAGGTTAGGGAAGGTTTCTGCCATTATTTCTTCAAACATTTTCTCTATCACTTGCTCCCTTTCTTCCCCCTCTGGCCACACCTATTACGGGAATGTTGTTACGTTTCATGTTGTCCCACAGCTCCCTAAAGCTGTCCTCCTGTGTTGTTGTTTTTTTTCTTTTTGGTTTTCTTGGCTGAGTGATTTTTTTTTCTACCCTGTCTTCTAATTCACTGATCTGATCCTCGGCTTCCCCTAATCTGCTGTGTTTTCCTTCCAATGTGTTCTTTATTTGTTCTATGTCATTCTTTACTTCCAACTATTCTTTTTTCATAGTTACTATATCTTTTCTCATGATGTTGAGCATCCTTTCCATCATTATTTATCTATATCAGATAAATGTCTTATCTCCACTTTATTTATCTCTCTTTTTTTTTTGGAGAATTCTCTTCTTCTTTCATTTGGGGATTGTTTTTTTATCTCCCCATTTTGGCTGCCTATTTGAGTTTGTGTCTGTGTATTAGGTAGATTTGCTACAACTCCCAATCTCTAATGCAGGACTATGTCAGATGCTGTTTCTGATTGGCCCTGAGTATCCTGCTTGAGGCTATCAGCAATCACAGCTTTTGGTTTCCTCTTCTGGGGCTGCATGCCTTTGGGAAGGACCAAGATGTGCACCAGGTCTGCTTTTCCTAGCCCCAGGCTCAGAAAGAGATCAGGCAAAGTCTCAAAGCCTCCAGATATCTGCCTCTGCCTGCAGTCTGGTTGTTATCTGCCTTGATTGGACTTAGGCTATGGACCACAGGGTGGGGTGAGAGTTTTTCCAACAGGGTGTGGTGACTGCTTTTTCCCCTGGCCCAAACCACTTGGATAGCAAAGTTCTGTAGGAGAAAGATGTCCTTCACAGCATCAGGGAATGACTCAGCACAGGAAACCAGGGTGGCTGCCCTCTGAGCTCCAACTCCAGAGCCCCCAACCCTGGACTCTCCTCACACAGCTTCAGTACACTCTGCCCTCCTTCTGCCAGAGCACAAGGTGAGTGTCTGCACATGCATATTTGTGCATTGGCCCTTTAAGAGAATGTCTGCAATTCCAATAGTGTTTGGCTGGCATACAGCAACCCTACTGCTTTCCACAGCCAGGTGTTATATGGGCACTTCTCTCAGTTCTGGTGCTCTGGGTTGGAAATCCCAGGTTGGGGTTTAGACTCCAGAGCTCTCAATGGGAACCCCACACAGCTGAGATATCCCTCCGGACCATTAGCTGCTATCTGTAGGAGTCAGGCCACCCCTTTTGCATCTCTGTATTTTCTACCAGACTCTATGTGGTCTCTACTTTCCATCCTTGGCTATCAGGGTTCTCTACAGCGAGTCTTCAGTTGATTTTTCAGGGTGTTTTTTGTTTTGTGTTTTCTTTTTTCTTTTTGCATTTTAATTGTATTTCCAGTTTGGTCTTGGGAGAGTATCAGTGTAGCTTCCACTTACTCTACCACAGTTTTTAATCAATCTTCCTATATATCTGTTGATCTCACTTTGTGTTTCTTCTTTGACCCAGTCACTTTTTAGTAGTATGTTGGTTAACCTCCATATATATGTGGGCTTCTTTATTGCCTTTTTGCAGTTGATTTCTAATCTCAAGGCATCATGGTCAGAGAATATGCATGGTATAATTTCAATCTTCTTGAATTTGTTGAGGCTGGTTTTGTGACCCAACATTTGGTATATCCTTGGGAATGTTCCATGTGCACTGGAGAAGAATGTATAATCTGATGTTCTGGGATGATGGCTCTGTAAATGTCCGTTATGTCCATTTGTTGTAGTGTTTCAGGTAAGGTCGATATTTCTTTATTGATTTTATGTTTTGATGATCTATCTGGAGCTGTCAATGACTATTAAGATACCCAACTATGATTGTGTTATGAGCTGTTTCTCCCTTTAGTTCTGTGAGTAGTTGCTTTATATATTTTGGTGCTCCCTGGTTGAGTTCATATGTATTAAGAAGTGTTATGTTTTCTTGATGTAGTGTCCTCTTTATCATTATAAAGTGCCCATCTTTGACTCTTGTTATCTTTAAATCTATTTTGTCAAATATAAGTATGGCCACACCTGCTTTTCTGTGGATTATATTTGCTTGGAGAATCATTTTTTAAACTTTTACTTTGAATCTACATTTTTTTTTTGCAGCTTAAATGTGTTTCTTTTAGGCAGCATATGGTTGGGTTTTCTTTTTTGACCCACTTTGCTACTCTGTGCCTCTTTATTGGTGAATTCAGACCATTTACATTTAGGGTAATTATTGATGTATGAGGATTTTCTATAGCATTTTATCTTTTGTTTTCTGGTAGCTCTATGTCTCCATTGGTTCTTTTCCTCTGTGTTTCTGTTGCTTTTGTTTGGTGGTTTTCCATACTTATTTCCTGTTTCCTCTTTTTTTTTTTTTAAGTTATGTGTCCTGATTTGGGAATTTTTGTGTATGGTTATCATTAGGATGATAAAAAACAAAGTTGCATACATACAATATGTTTTTCTCTTTTGAGTGCATCTGATCTCCATCCTCCTTTGCCAGTTTAGACCTTTACTTCCTCTTATTATTTTGTTGTCATAAATTATTCCTGTTTATGCTGTAAGTGTGTTGGTGATCTTACTCATAGATTTGTGGCCTTCAATTCTTTGTTTTGGAAAATAACTCCCTTGAGTATTTTCTGCAATGAAGGTTTTCTGGTGATAAAACCCCTCACTTCTATATGTCTGGGAATGTCTTTATTTCTCCTTCATATTTAAAGAATAATTTGCTGGATATATTATTTGCGCTGGTAATTTCTCTCTTTCAGGCATTTCAATATTTGGTTCCACTCTCTACTGGTTTGTAGAGTTTCTTCTTAGAAGTTGGATAAAATTTGGATGGGCTTTCCTTTGTAGGTCACTTCCTTCTTTTCCCTGGCTGCTTTGAGAATTTTTCTTTGTAACTAATTTTTGACAGTTTTAATAAAATGTACCTTGGAGAGGGTCTCTTTGGATTGAGGTAACTAGGTGTTCTGTTTGCTTCTTGGATTCAAGAATCTTGTTATTCTCATAGATTTGGGAAATTCTCATTCACCATTTATTTGAAGACGCTCTCTATTCCCTCTCTTCTTCGTTTGGTATGCCTATTATTCTTATTTTCTTTAAAAATATATATATATATTTCAGAGAGGAAGGGAGAGATAGAAACATCTATGATGAGAGAGAATCATTGATTGGCTGCCTCCTGCACACCCCCTACTGGGGATCAAGCCCACAACCCAGGCATGTGCTCTGACCAGGAATCGAATTGTGACCTTCTGGTTCATAGGTTGATGCTCAATCACTGAGCCACACCAGTTGAGCTTTTGAGCTTTATTGCTTTTTCTGGTGGAGTTAGATAGTTCTCATAGAGCTTCTTTTCTTCCTTCCTCCCTCCCTCTTTCTTTCTTTCTTTCTTTCTTTCTTTCTTTCTTTCTTTCTTTCTTTCTTTCTTTCTTTCTACATGCAGATCTCTATCTTCTTTCCTATCTTCAATGTCACTAATCCTTTCCTCCATCTGGTTGGTTCTGTTTTCTATGCTCAGTAGTTCACTCCAAATATCCTTAATTGCTTCATTTCCAAGATTTATGATTGGTTCTTTTTTTAATGTTTCAATCTCTTTGGTAAAATACAAACAGTCTTCGGGTTATGTCGGACGCGTCAGACATCGTTTCGTGGTTACGTCACCATCTCCCATTTATTTATATATAAAAAAATTCCGTCATTTCAACATATGTATATATGTGCTTCATGTTTCTTATTATTTATTTACCACAGCTAAAGGTCAGGGATTGTTATCTTTCTTTTAAATTTTTTTACTGTTTCACTTCATTACTATTGTGTATGTGCTCCATGTGAGTGACATAGGTGCTTATGTAGGTGGGTTCTGACTTACGGCAAAAATCACATTACCTCGTGCCATAGGAACGGATCTCTCACGTAACCCGAGGACCTGCTGTATCAACTCTATAGAGGCAGTAGGTATATTAGTGGAGCTGGTCACCTGCTCCTGGCTTCAGGGCTGCATCCTTGGCTACTAGTATCTGAGCTTTCCTCCCTTATTGCCTTCCCACTGACTCCCAGTTGCCCACCTTTAGTGTTGATGTTCTTTGTGAACGGTGATGCTGAGATGAGCTCGGCGTGCAGGATTGAGTTTAGAGAAGCAGAGGGCTATTGCTAGTCAGGCAAGTAGCAAAGCCCCCAAAGCTCTCATGGCTTTTATTTGGGGAGTACAGCAAATAACAATGGAGTACAGCAAGTGACAATGATTAACAGGCATGCTTATGGGATCATCTAAGCTAAGTTATACATTACACTATTAATTTCCTATGTTATACAAAGACTCTTTCCACCTGCAGCAGTGTACCCTCTCTTGAACTTTTCCATGCCCTCATGGACTATTTATCACCTCAAGGAAAGTTCTGCCTCTGAACAATAAGTCTTGCTTGCAAGACTTTGTTCTGACGTGGCCCGCTTGCAGGCTCCCACCTTTTTTTTGGCAGAACATCCTCTTCTAGTTAACTTCTATCCGCTTGACCAGCTACATGTAAATATGAAGGAACTAGTTCATTGGATCTTATTAGAAGACAGCATTAATCACTTAAACTTTTAGGTAAATGTCATATTTCTATCAATATAGAAACACATTTTAATGTTTTAAATTTAGTAAATAAAAATATTGATATAATCTTACAAACCTTCAGCCATTTTGATGAGTGTGCAGTGTAATAATTATAGTTTAATTTGCATTTCTTTAAATATTAATTTCATTGAACATATTTTCATAACTTTGTTGGCCAGTTTTTGGTGACAGATTTGTTCAAAGATTTTGTCCATTTTTATAGTTGATTGGCTATTTTTTCTTATTGATTTATAGAAGTTATTCCTATATTTATTTGTTGGTTATAAATAGGAATCGCATATCAGTTCTTCAAGTCTGTGTCTTGCCTTCTCATTTGTAGTGGTATTTTCTAAAGAACAGCAGTTCTTAATTTAATAAAGCCACATTTATCAATCTTTTTCTTTACACTTATTGTCTTTGTGTTCTGTTTAGAAATCTTTCCCTATCCAAGAATTGTGAAGATATTTGTCTCCATTATCTTTTGTGGGGCTTTTTGTTTTGTTTTGTGTTTTATGTGCATATTTATGGTCCACCTGGAATTGATTTTCTTTAATGGTGGACAGAAAATCAGGTTATGATATCAATCTATTTATATAAAAACCCTGGGTGTAACGTCATGACTCGAGGCTCGACCAACCAGAAGGAAGTCAGTCCTGCAGGGGTTTCTTGGCAATGGCTGTGCCCTCCCCGAGCAGTTTCCCGGAGCTGTTTCCCATGAGGGCAAGGTTTAAGGCAGGAAACGGCCCTCAGAGCGTGGAGGCATATCTTTATAAAGTGTGCCGCGCCAGCATGGCCAAGGGTGAACCTGAGTGGGGGCGGCTGAAAGGCTTAGAAAAGACAGACAAGAGAATGAAAGCTGGGTCTCCGTGGGACGCTGCTTCTCTGACAGACAGCGACCACGCCCACAGCCGTGTCTTTATTTTATAGCAGATGCCTTGAGGCAAACTAAGGGCATGATCAAGATGTTTACAACATTCTCCTGGGAGGGTGAACCGTGGGGGCGGCTGAAAGGCTTAGAAAAGACAGACAAGAGAATGAAAGCTGGGTCTCCGTGGGACGCTGCTTCTCTGACAGCAGA